TGTACACCACCACATGTTTTTTTTTTGGTTACATTGGGAGGATCACCACATGATTTTCAGTTAGAATGAAGGAATTTTTTATTTTTTATTTAATTGAAGATGCAAGAGTAAGAATTTGGGGAAGAAGAAGTCACTTGCAGAGAATTGGAAGAAAAGTCAAGCATATTCTATGTGAGAAAATAAAGCGCAAAAGTCACTATGGTCCTGTAATTTGGTACTTCAACCACTTTTGACTCTGTAGTTTTAATTCCGTCAATTTTAACCTTGTAGTTTTGTATTTGTAGCAATTCAAGGACATGTTAGTATTCTTGTCAATTTCTTTGACGGTAAAAGGGGGCAATTTCGTCAACCTAAAACCCTTGAGCGTAAAAGCTCGTATGAAATTCTACCCATTTCATATTAAGGCTCGAAATTCAACAACTAATCCCAATTTTTGAAGAACCCTAAGCCCAAATGACCAATTTCAAGCCCTAATATGAAATTAGGGGAGTTTCAGACGAGCTTTTATGCTCAAGGATTTTGGGTTGACGAAATTACCCATTGCACCATTAAAGAAATTGACAAGAATACTAACTTGTCCTTAAATTGCTACAAATACGAAACTATAGGGTCAAAATTGAAGGAATTGAAACTACAAGATCAAAAGCGGTTGAAGTGCCAAACTACAGGGACCAAAAGTGAATTTTAGCTGAAAATAAAAGCAGAGGGTTAAGTGCGAAAAATTGATTTCGAGGGACTAAATTGAGAATTCAAGTGGAGAAGAAAACGGTAATTAAGCATTTTATTTTATTTTGTATTGCCGTATATAAGAAAAGAAAAGAACAGAAAAGAAAGGAATTTGTTTAGAGTAGTCAACGCAGGCCAGTGACCATGGACAGCATCCTTCAGAAGCTGAGGAATTTAGACGCCTACCCTAAAATCAATGACGATTTCTTCAGCCGTACACTCTCCGGTGGCATTATTACCCTCGCCTCTTCCCTCCTTATCCTCTTGCTTTTCTTCTCTGAGCTCAGTATGCAACCCTTTTTCACTTTTTCTGTTTATCAACTCTCTCTCTCTCTCCCCTGTTTATTTTTCGCTTTTCTAATAATTCTGAGGTGCGGAGAAAGTTTAGAAATTGTAGCATTTGGGTTGTGCAGGATTGCTTCTGTCATCTACATCTATGGTTTGTAAACGGGTCAACTGAGATTTTTGCTTCTGGGCTAAATGATCTTTGTCTGGGCTTGGATTAATTGAGTTTTTTTCAGGGACAATTAAAAGTTTCTTCTTGATGAATAAATTTGTGGAGGGGAAATTGGAGTAGTTAGAGGATTTGTGGAGGGGAAATTGGAGTTAGTTAGAGGATCATATTTGTAGCTATGCGTCGTGATGAATAAATTTCTGATAACTTCGTGGATTAGATGATGGAAGGCCTTGATAGTAGCCATTAGCCATCGATGAAGGGATCAAAACTATCAAAAAGCAGCAGAATAATTGTATTAAATCTGTTTGTAATGCTGAGTTCTTTTTCCTTTTTACTGCTGCAGTCATCGATCACATTGGATGAATGCTGGAGCTATGAGCACTTATTCTGCTGTTCTATAATATTATAAAGCTGTATTTTATTTGTTTATTTATTCTTTTACTTGTTTGTGCTTGCAGGACTTTACCTCCACACTGTTACAGAGTCAAAGCTGCTTGTAGATGCTTCAAGAGGAGAAACCTTGCATATCAATGTAATGATCTCTATATTTTTGCTTCCCCAGACTCACTTTTGAGTGATCAATGTTAAACCATTCATTTTACAATAACTTCAAAGGTTCAAATTATCATTCTTTGCAAGTTATAGTCGTTATTTTGTAAAACACCTTTTTATGTGTTATGTTCATACAGTTACATCCATGCTAGTTTTTCACTTTTACATGGAGTAGTGCATTTGCATGTGAAATATTGTCCCACATAGTTGTTACTGGTTCTAGTTTTACTGATTATTTGTTTTTGGTTGAACCTGCAGTTTGATGTAACTTTTCCTGCTATCCGGTGCTCATTACTCAGTCTTGACACAATGGATATCAGCGGAGAACAACATTTTGACATAGTATAATAATGCTGGCAGCTGCTTCTTGTTAATTGTTTTTCTGCGTTAATAATAGCAATTGTGTTAGGAACAAGTTTAATATTGACTTTTATTGCAATCATGTTGCTTGTGACCAACTTTCTTGAATGTCATGCTTACTTCTTGTTAACAATCACAATTTATGATATATCTACTTGCAGCGACACGATATAGTCAAGAAAAGAATTGATGCTCATGGTCATGTAATAGAAGCTAAGAAGGATGGAATTGGTGCACCAAAGGTTTGTGGGAGTAGTTTTCTGGCATTTTTCTTCAGCATGCACTGGTTACATATCTTACATGTTTGCACACCTATTTATACTTACAGTTTTCTCTGGAACAATTTGGGCTGAGATAATACCATGACTTGTATTTTACTCTGCCTTTGTTTTGTGGACAAAACCATGTAGAAGTAAAAAAATAATGCGCATGCACACATGCAGACATGCAGACATCAGTTTCCCATGTGATTATAATACTTTCTCACCTAGCAGAAGCTTGCCTGTCTTTTTGAATAGAATGCCCATATATCCCTTATTCATATGATGTACAAGTGCATCATTGCTCACTTTTAGGTTCTATGTGTTGGGTACAACTTGACGAGGCATATAAATGACATATTTGAATTACTATGCATCTTGGTGCTCTTATTTTACCATCGACATGGAAAATGTTAAAGACAAATATTTAGGTTTTGGTGCTTCATGCACCACTCCATTGGTAAACTTCATTACTGCTTTTGCAAGTTTGTTCACCTTTGTTGCATGAGTAATACACAAGAAAAACACCTAATAACAGAGAGTTAAGAGTATGCCAGTTGAAACAAGAATTCTTCAATAGAAGAAACAAAAGAAGAGGAAAAACACAAGGAATAAGAAAAAACACAAGGCATATTCCTTCATAATTAGCATATGTTGGTTGCTTATTCCTTGTTTTTTATTTTTGGTTGGGAAAAACACAAGGAATAAGCAAAAAATTTATATATTCCGTGTTGGCTTGTAATATGATATCATGTTATCATTTGTTTGCTTGGCATGCACTGAACCTGTTTTTCTTTTTCCACTTTACTTGCCTAATGCAGATTGAGAATCCCTTGCAAAGGCATGGTGGAAGGCTTGAACATAATGAAAAATATTGTGGTTCGTGCTTTGGAGCAGAAATGGTATAAATGATTTTGTGCTGTTCCTTCACTGCTATAATAGTTATCTTATTTTGAACAATAATGCTATGAACACGAAATTTGAGTCCCAAATGATGTGGAAGATGCCACAGACACATCACCAATTTTAAGGCTCTCTAAATTCTGCAGCTACAGATGCCCACAAAGAAACCCAAAAGTGAACGAAACCATAGAGAACCATTTGTGATTGACTAACAGGCTTCATGCGGATGTGAATACTGATTGCTTAGAAAACCTATGGGTCTCCTTTTTCTTCTTCTTTCATGCTAAATTTTATGCCAGAAAGTTCCAGTAACCTTGGGGTCCAATTTTAGTATTGCAGAATCCATCAACGTGCAATGTTATTCATACATGACCATTCATAAGCTCGCATCTTGTCCTTTTGTCTCATCTTAATAGAATTTTGTTTCCCGTAAAAAATAAATAACCATTCATCAATGATACTATATAATAATATTTGAAAAGAAACATATTAGTAGTCATTTATAAAACATATGAAATTCAAGAACATTATCCAACAATCATAATGATAATCCAATAAGATTATTCACAAAACATAAAAGCAATTCCATGAGAGAAAATACACTTCACCCCTATTGCTGCTGAACAAGCAAGAGTTAGGATCTTTGAGAGAGAGAGGCAGAAGGCCTCCTCCATCCATGTTGCTTTTTACTTTTAAGTTACCCCTTCCAAATGGTGTTGTTTTTGTCCGTGAAAGTTTGGTTTTTTTTTTTTCATAGAAGGCCCAAATGGTTTATGCCTCTTAAGCCTTATGAGAATAGCGTATGCCTTTCAGTACTTTTAGCACAGGTCGCCTGGGGGTTTTTTATTGTGCCCTTGCTATGATGCATGCCCCGGGAATGCCTTTGAAAACATTTCCATTCAAAGTCTCACTTTCTTCAGATCCCCTTTAAGAAACGTAAATATAGTGCGAAGTTATGAAGATTCTATCTCATGAACTCAAAAATTCATATATAAAATTCCATGTTGAAAGAATCTTTATGTGTGTCCTGAGACCTTAAGATTGATTGGTATATTTATATGTTCTTTCTTATGCAGTCTGATGATGACTGTTGCAACTCATGCGATGAAGTTCGTGATGCATATAGGAAAAAAGGTTGGGCACTGACAAATGCAGATTTGATAGACCAGGTTAGTTTATGAGATGATTCTGATTTTTCTTTGTGCAATCTGGTTGACTGGCACAAACATCGACATATTATGGCGACAAAAAAATTCATAAGGAAATATAATGTTTCTTGTTGGCCCAGCAAATAGAACGAGGGTTTTTTAATATTGCTGGTTTTGAAGGTTAATAATTGGTTGGGGCACTCTTTCTTGTGTATAAAAGGGAAATTCTGAAATAAATACTGCTTCATGTGGATGGTAAATTTTTTTTAAATTTAATAATTTTTTATCTTTGAGTTCTGCATATTTTTGTTCGCATAGAAGAGAGAAACGAGTCAGAAGAGACCACTGTAGAACTTGCCATATAAAATGTAAAGAGTTACTGATGCAGGATGCATATGACCTAAATTTATTAGTTTCCTAATGTATTTGTTAGTTTCCTAGATTCTCTAGTTTTCCCAATTCTAGTAGGATTTCTACTTTTCCAGATTTCCAGATTTTTAGTTTTAAGTTTCCTATTTTATTTGGGTTAGGATTTCTGTTTAAGCAAGAGATTTTTATCCTATTATGTCTAGGTTTTAGTTTGCTATAAATACCCCCCATGTAGTTCTTTAAAATTCAGATTTGAATGTTGAGTAAACCTTTTCCTAGAACTCTCTGATTTCGTCCCTTCGATCTATATTTCTTCTCCTTGATACCCGATATTCTTCTTTGTTCTACTGTTTCTGCCCTTTATCTCGTCTTTTCGATCTATATTTCTTCTCCTCGGTCTCTTATATTCTTCTATGTTCTATTGTTTAAGTGCTTAATCTAATACCTACGGGCTGTACTACATCAATTGGTAATCAGAGCCTTCCCTCCCTTTCGCTTGCATTTGCTCTCTGCCATGGCACCCCAAACCGTGGCCAACCTTGCAGAACAATGTCATGCGTTCCAAGACAAGGTTTCTGACGACATCGCTGGCATAAAAACCCAGCTCTCCAAGTTCAGCACTGACCTCAAAGAACATCGTGCGACGACGGACCTCACCATCGCCAAACTCCAAGACTCCGTTCAGATGCTTCTCAATCACTTTCGGCTTGGAATGATTGAGCCTTCTTCTACCTCAGCTGTGCTCTCAAGTTCGTTTACGCCGCTGCCAAAAGGTGGCCTTCTTCCCAATCCACCGCTGGATCAAAAACTCAAGGCCAAGCCACAAGGTATTCCAAATCAATCAACGGGATTATCGATTGGCATGCCCAAGGCTCAATTGGAGCCCATATTTTATTTTGGTTCTATGCTGCAGCCTAACCATACCCAACATACGATGGGTTCTCCTCTAGTTGACGACAACATTCATGTCCCTACTCCGCCACCCCGACCACACAACAAGAACTTCATGCACCGACCCTTGGATTTTGAGATAACCCGACATGCCAAGCTAGGTGTTTTTCTTGAACCAAGGCACTCTAGCGACGACTTACGAACACAATGGATTGAGGGTCTATCACACCCACACACGCGCTTGCATTCGTTGGCCGATGACGTTCGTCATGGGTCTAGGCAGAGCTCTCTATTTGCCATTCTTACAAGGACTAATGTTCCATGCTTGCGGAACGGCTGGTTTCAAGGTGGCAAATATGATGCTGATCTTGAAGACCTAAAAAACGCAACTTGCCTCTTCACACTTCCTTGGGATTTTGATTTTGTCGCTGTTTACTCGTCGGAGTCGAGTTCTTTTCGGCGGAAGAGAATGATGCAGGACGCATATGACCTAAATTTATTAGTTTCCTA